CTGTTGGCAAGTGGTCCCAAGAAATTTGACTGGTATCACTTCCAACTTCCTTAAAGGCAGTTGGCACGATGATTTGGTGCTCGGCCTAAAATGCTAGTAGGGCGCTATATAGTGGGGAAATGGCGAAAGAACGGAGTGAAACGGTCAAAATCCTGCGAAGAAAGAGCCTCCGTTCTCAATGTGTTAGAAATCAATTTTGGACGAGTTTCCGTAGGCATCTTGCCAATAACCGCTACCGAAGGTACGGCTGCATATGTGTACTCATATATCCATGCAGCATCACGGCCGCTTCATACCAATCCCTTCGCTTCATAATTTGCTTAGCAAATGAATCGATTAGAGCGTCAGGAACGGTCGTCCATTTGTGGGCGGGCGGGCGTTTGGGTCGGTATGTTGTGGCTTGATAGGGCCCTTATAAGGGCACCTCCCTTGGAAAAGGCATTATGCAGCGCCTGCTCAGGGTCGCGGAATTCCGTCCTGCCAGGCATATTAATCCTATTCGTCTTGGGTTATTTATCGTGCCAACTGCCTTGAGGTATTCCTTTCAGAACCCTACCGTTCTATCAACGCTTCCCCATTATTAATGGGGCGATGTTTCAAAAGTGTTCACCTTCGGGTTTTCCTGGCCCCTTATCAGTATGCGCAGGGTTTTTCATGATTATGGGGAATATTCCTTTCGTAGTTGCTCTTATGTTTCCTTTTGATGTTTCAAACAAGTTATCGTTCTGGCTGAGTACGTTATCTCTGTTATCTGTTGGTATGGATAGCGAAAAGGCAAACACAACGATTCCTCCTGTGTGTCATCGCTTGCCACCAGCCATTGTCCACTCGTTGCAGTTTATTTGGCCCTTATCAAGACTACACGTTTTACTTTACAGTTCAGTTATCTGAGTGATGCTATGCGTTGTACATTTCATTATTTATTTGTCAAAAAACAAATTTTCGTTGTTGCTCGAGCGATCCCAATGTGCAAGGATTTGAATGAAAAAGCGCGCTCGTCGACCTTTTTGCGATTTCCAGTCAATGTATCGCGTTCGACGTGCATAATTACTTTTCATTCCCCGTAAAGTTTGTATTTTTCCACCGTGTACCTACACTTGTTCATATTTCTTCATCTATTTTGTATTTTTCCACCGTGTACCTACACTTGTTCATATTTCTTCATCTATTTCGTACACTTGCATTTTTCTCGGAGTGTAAGAATTCTCATTTAGTTTGCTTTTTTAAGTTATCATTAGTGAATTCTATTGCAGCCATGTCTGACGACGGAGCCCCTCCGGAGCCCGTGCTTGAAGTTCCTCCTCCAACAGAAATTAAAATCCTCGAGACCGCTGAAGATATCCAGGTGAATTTATGCGTTTATTTAAGCAATTTTTTCAATTTCTAGCTTGCCCGTTCCCGATTTTTCGTGTTCGTTGTGAGTGCCTTTCTCGATTTCATCTGTTAGCTTCGACCAGCTGAAATTAAGTGAAGCGCTGCAAGGATAGTCGCCCCTCGCGTGCCCCGTTTTATTATGACATTATCGATTTTGGCCGAGTGTCCGTCCGAGTTTGGAGTGGCTGAAGTTTGGCTATGACGCGACATTCCCATCGGTCATACTCAGATATCTGGGCCGACGAGGAAAGGGATCAAAGAAAATAGCGTTTCTGTTTTCAGCATCGACGTCAAGAAGTCCTTGGCCACTATTCACAATTCAAAGAGCATGCCAAGAATAAGAGGGATCGTTTAGAGGAAGCCCGTCAGTACCAGTATTTCAAACGGTTTGTAGTCTACGTTGTACTGTGAATTTCTCTCACTGTTTATGTTCTCACGCATTTCATTTCAGCGATGCTGATGAACTTGAGATTTGGATTCTCGAAAAACTGCAGACCGCCCAAGAAGAGTCATTCAAGGATCCGACGAACCTTCAGGTAGGATGAACCGATCACTCGGCGTGGTGTATGGTGCAGATGGTGGGGTAATTCATGCGGGGAATTTCCGGGCAGAGGGATTGGCTGAGGATGGGGTCAATGCCACTGACCAGGCGACGATCAGAGGAATCGGACTAATTGATGCTATCTTACCAGTTACCCCACCGCACGTGTATCGAGTGACAGGCTGGCAAAATGAGGAGCACCTTACATAGGTGTAGCAATCAGGGCATGTCATTGTGATGCCGAAATTCACTGTATACGATTCCCCTTGTTTTTTTCCTTGATACGCCCACCACAAATACCCCAAAATGCCCTTCAGAGGGAGGCATGGGAAAGATGCAACTCCGATCACCCTGACTGACAAATAGGTGGAGTAAAAGCGCACGTCGCCTATGGGGAAGGGGCCGTAAAGTGCGTGAAACGGGAAAATCAACAATGAAAAGATCACGCTGTCAAATACGACCCCCCTCCCTTCTAGCGAATAAATACGACCCCCTTTCGGTAATTTCACAATGATGATGCGCTCTGGCAACGATTTTCCAAGGGAAATATGTGAAAGTCAACCTAACGTCAAGGATGCAGAAACCTGTATGGTGTTTTTAATAAACATTGGAAGGACCACCTTTCTGGTTCTTTTGTTCTTTACTTTCATGAAATTGTTACTTCATTTCTCGTAAAGTTCACTTTCGCTTTTTCTTTTTCCATCCGGCATCTGAAGTTTGTTAGTTTATTGGCTTGCTTGTTAATCCAAACAGAACAATTTCGTTGCGTCATCGCACAGCGTGCGAAATTTTCGGGAGGATCCTATTGAATAGAAGAAGCCGAGGGGACCCATATTGCCCTCGTGGGGCCGCTGCTCGTCGAGCCATCTTCAATAATACATTTCATAAGAAGAGAGCCTCAGCGAGAAGATTAAAATGCCTCAACATGGTTTTACGGGCAGTGTTGAGTGGAATGAGTAGTTTTCTTGAGCAAATAGCATTTATGACCGGATAGAATCTCGTCGTAGGCGACCGATAACGTCACATTCCGATCGGTTTTCCCTTGACATTTGAGATTGACGCCACGGAATGATGACTATTAATAGCCCAGACACGAACGATCGCGTTCCACATACGGCGCCATCGAGCACTTTTGATGGGACCAGTTTAAAGGATGTGAACGATTCCGAAAATTGGTGCAACTCAAACGGGCCTTGTTCGGTTTGGGGGGGGGCATTTCGCTTTTCCGCCTGTTTCTTTTGCTTGCTCCTCTTGAGTTACACATCTCACCCAGATTAGACCTGTACGCTCTTGTCAAGTGTAATCGAAGCTCTAGCTGTTGCATAGCTTTGCAAGAGTTTACTGATCTCTGCATAAGGCATCAGCAGTGATCGATATGAACCAGACAACACCCTCACGAAGCCGAACTGCGCTGAAATGAGTCACCAACGCCCACATCAGCTGGTATAATGCACGCATATTAATATTGCGCCAGCGTTGGTGTACCCGGCCATGGCTGAGTGATTAGCCTTTCTTGTAATACCGAAGGACAATAGGTATTGAACCTAAGTGACTTGAATGATTACAAAAAAAGCGTGCTTGGAATGGAACCTTTGAAAAACGTTATAGGTTTGACAATTTAAACGGCGGGAGTTAAAGACACTTCCCGCGATCAAGCGGTCTTCAAAATGACTTCGTGCTTTTTGGAACCCTCTACGCCTTGACGAAGATGATACCACTTTCATCCCCCAATATGGGCGTTATAGAAGAAGGCTCGCTAGGCTCGCTGACACGGTAGGTGGACGAGGCGTCCGGTCCCGAGCTGCTTCCGTCCCTTTAAAGTATCCTATTTCGAAAGTCGGGACGCAATTGCGGCTGCCGCATCGATTTCTGGCAGCCACGTCCGGCACACTCGTCCAGGCCCCGCCCCCACTGCTAAAGGGTAGACCTGAAGAAGGGCTTAAGGCCCGAAACGTCGCCGAGAAATAAAAGACTTAGAAGAGTTTCATTCCATCAACCCAGAAGAAGACTTACAATATAATGAAGCTCAGGAATCCTTTGATATTATTTTATGCGGATAACATTTTAGGTGCAAAATAAGAACCGAAGATGATGACGAGGGCTAGAACTCAAGAGCAACTGTGCTGCTTCTGCAACTATCCCTCAGACATTATTCCGTTTTTATTTTGATGTTTTGTGGGAATGCGCGGCCTGCGAGGGCTGTTGCAGAAGCAGCACAGTTGCTCTTGAGTTCTAGCCCTCGTCATCATCTTCAGTTCTTATTTTGCAGAACCTAAAATGTTATCCGCATAAAGAAATTGCGTTGTACTTGTATTCCAAAGCGCAATTACAGAACTTGGCAAAATGCTGGAAGAGCTGCACACGACCGCGCCGTGCTGACGGTGTTAGTA